AAGATATTCCATCTGTCACTGTGTTTTTCACAGACAATGGAAGGCGAGGTGTTATATTCCTGCTCATTCCCACTTTACTATTCTTATTTCCACTGATACCCCCTCTCCCCTCATCCACAACATACCACCCCTTATATTTATTTCATTGGACACCCACATCCCAATAATCCAAACAGCTGTGTCCACTGTTTATATATAAACCCTGTTGTTCCGCAGTACATCAACTAATTTTGCTGTGTGGAGTCCCACCTGCGACACAGCAGGGGTTGTTTTCACGGTTTTCCCTCTGTATATCACAGACCACCTCTTTAATACATCCAGGAGGAGGCCCATGACCAGGATTGGGATTTTTATTTCACTGTTAGGCTCCAATAATTCCAATCAACTTGATAGGAGCTGAATGAAGCTGTGAATTGATTGTTAACTCGATTTTCTACTGTGTTTCTCTGTAATTAAGTCTGAATCTAAAAGGGTGCAGTCTTACTCTGTCATCCTGACCTCGCATATTTTCCTCAGGAATCAAAACAGAGGCTGGTTAGGTGCAGTTTCCACTTTAGCAACTGGTCCAACTTTATCAGCGCAGGCTGACCTGCAGCTGGAACATGTTGCTCCTGCCAGGTTGAAATGCAGAAGAATAACTTTGCAATTAGGAAGGATTTCCACATGCATGAAAAAGTCACACATGTGGAAGGGAAGCATGTTAAATGTCACAGGCACAATTAAACAGCAGCATTAATTTGTTGCTAATGTAACCAAAATACATGTTCAGGTCATAGGTGTTAATTTAAGCGTTTCCTGGGTAGCACCAAGTGCCAAGCCTGTACCCAGCTATAGTAGAGCAGTACAGAATTACACAAGGCATTGTTCGAAAATCTCTGAGTGCTACTCCAGCTTTGTTCTAGTGTGTCATCAGTACCCAGTGTGCCTTGACATGTTTACTGTGTCTAAAATTGGTACTGGTGATAAAGACATTAGCGCTACGATGGAGAACTTGACGAACAGGGACAGTGGCTCTGGGAAGATTAGCTCCTGTCCACTCACTGTTTGTTTATCTGCTTTTTCTTATGCAACACAGAATGCGCTCAGTCAGATGCATGCTGGTCATTCATACAATCGCACTCCACTTTGTATGCAGTTGCATAGATGACTATTCTATTCTCTTTTATCCTAATGATTTACTGAGATTTGGCACAAAGGGCAACTGTGCATATCAGATTGTCACTTGACTACATTGTATATAATAATTTGTTCTTATTCAGTTACACAGTGTGAATCCATGAATGTCCAGGCTTTAATTTGTTACTAGTCTTGTGTCTTTGCTTTTCTAAGAAAAGGCGGAAGGTTGTTCATGTCTTTTTAAGATAAGGCCTTTAATAATTACACAGAATTGTTTGTCTTAGAATGAATCAGCTGACTGTCAGTGTGGTTATGTGACTCTAAACTGCTGCTTTCATTAAAACAACAGGTCTGATAAACAGCTTTGATAACAATTAAGAAGACTGATTTATTTTCTTTATTATGAGTTACATATGTTCTCAGATTGCAGCATGTGCGTTAGACAGGAGAAGAAATTCAGTCAACAATAATGACCTGAGGAGTGTGATCACGTTTTGTAGTTAGTTTAATCTTTGCCCCCAGGTGCTCACAGACCAAACAAACAACTATATTAAGGCCTTACTGTTTAATGATGACTGTTATACATTAGTAACATTTACCCAACGTGGTTAGTCACTCAGTAACAACCTTATCAACATCAAGAGAAAAGAGGACAGTCTTATCATAGCAGTTGCTGCACCTTATTGATTATCTCAATATTGAATATAGGTCGGGCTGCGGAAAACTTCACATCAGAACCTGTTGGTAAATTCACTTTACAGCCAAATAAACTTTTTTTTTGTTGTGATAAGGTCTGCATAAATTCATAAAACACCTGGGTGCTGGCTGCGAAAAGATCTCTTTCTAGGATATAAACCCACAAAATAAACTAACATGCCAAAGTGGTTTACAATAATCATTATCAGTAAAGGGAACAAGATATGTCTGTTAAGCTAAGCATGAATAAATCAGACATAGAAAACATGTGAAGCATATACATATATTTTTTTTATTAAGTTTATATTTTTGGCCTTTTATTGCCTTTATTGGATAGGGAC